TATTGACGTATCAGAAACTGAATCTTTCCAGAAATTGCTTATTTAAAGGGATAGAACCTGCTAATGAAGAAAACTTGAGTTATTTAAGTGATTATTGTCAAAGATTTCAAAGGCAGGCTTTAATCACAATAGCTCATGCTGTTGTATTTTGAGTCTGAATCACCATTTTAATTCAGGAACTCAAGTCACAATCCAAGTGTGACTAATGGCACATTCACTGCACATTGGCTTTAGTCACAGGCAATGATCTCAGTAGTGTCCATGTTACCACTGATGATAAAACATTTATGTAGGCCTTTAGTAAGCACCTCCTTGAGCCAGCAATAAAGGAAGTATCTTTAAGTGTGATGCCAAGGTTTGGCGAGGCTGTGGAAAAATTCTTTTTAAGTGGACTGTGGCTGGAAGGACAATTAATAGGGTCACTTTAGAAAGAAAATTGCCTTAATTAGTTAAGTTGAACTAAGCCTGTCCTACATCTCAGGCCATAGCATAGTTGTTAGGCTAATGCCCCAAGGACTCATGCACTGGAGCCAGGAGAAACTTAAGAGAGTGTGTATAGCAGCTTTGCTTTTACAACTCCAGATGAAAGATGAACCACATGCACATTAAATAAAGCAAAACCAAAAACCCTCACTCCTATCTTTTATTCCAACTCATAGCAACTCCACAGGACAGAGTAGAACTTCCCCATAGGGTTTCTGAAACTATAAATCTTTACAAGAGCAGAGCACCTCATCTCTACTCTTTGGAACAGCTGTGGGTTTAAACTGCTCTTAGCGGTCCAGTGCTTAAACCACAGCCCCACCAGGGCTTCTTACATGTTCACTAGAGCAGGTAAATAACATGATGACTGCACATAACAGTGAAAATAGGGTGCCACAGTACACATTTCAGCATGGCTGCATCTTACAGCATAATGCTGAGTAGAAAAAATTTCTTAAGATTATGTATGCTGTTTATACAAAAACAAAAACAAAAGCAGAAAGTCATGCTATTATGGATTTAATTCGTGCCTACCCCCCAACACACAAAAATTATATGTTGGAATTCTTACTCCTATCCCAGCTGCTCCTTGGAAACCCTGTATAAGAAACATGCCCATGAATGTATTCCCATTTGGGAATAGGATTCTTGTTATGATAATGAGGTCATATGTGTAGACTGTGTCTCCAGTCTTACCACTTTTTTAAGACGTAAAAAGCAGATTAAGCACAGAAGCAAGCAAGTAAACATGTGAAAAAGATAGATACCACATGGAAATCTTCAAGGAACCAGAGACTGCTGGAACTAGGGTAGCTGAGATTCCAGAGCAAACAACAGAACCTTCCCCTACAACTGGTACCCTGACTTCTAGCCTCCTAAACTATGAGAAAAATCAATGTCTGCTCTTTAAAACTACTCACTTGTAGTATTTCTGTTACAGAACCACTAGGGATCTAAGATACACACATACACAGCAAAATTACATTGAAACAAGCTAGGCTGTTATTCACCTAAAATTTAAGAGAATGATTCTCTCTAGGGAGACAGATGAAGTCATTGTTGAAGAACACATGAGCAGCTGTAAAGGTGACGTGTCATGATCTGTATTTTAAGATAAATGGTATTTAATTTTATGGTGGTGGTAGTGGTTATGTGCCGTGGAGTCGGTTGTGATTCATAGTGACCCTGTGTAGGGTTTCTGAGGCTGTAAGTCTTTATAGAATCAGAAAGTCTCATCTTTCTCCCATAGAACTGCTGGTAGTTTCAAGCTGTTGACCATGAAATTAGAGGCCCAACTAGTAGTTTTTAAACTGCAAAGCACCTGTGCACATAGTATTGCTGTATGCCATTGAATCAGTTTGACTCATAATGACCTTGTATATTTCATGGAGTCCCGGTGTGGTGCTGTAGGATAAGCACTGGACTGCAAGGTGTTTTGAACCACAAGATCTGCAATTCAAAGTCACCTGCCCCTCCTCAGAATCGCAATGTAGGATCGCTATTGAGTCAGAACCAGCTCGACAGCACTTAACAACAACAACATCATATATAGTTGTCAAAAAAAAAGATGATGATAAGCTGGAAAAATAGGTTTTAATAATAATTCAAAGATAATTTTTTCTAGGAAAAAACAATTAAAAATTTAGACTAATGACTAACTCAAATTCCACTGTGTTTCACTTGATATTTCTAATGTTATGTAAAAGATTTAAAATATTGAAATTTGGGGTATTCTCCTTAAGATGTAATGCTGTTTGTTTACTATATAGAGAATTTAATGAAATAGAAAAGTGTCCAGGTTATTGCTTAGCATATAGATTTTCAATATGTTGTTGTTAAGTGTCATTAAGTAGCGTCTGACTCATAACAACCCTGTATAGGATTTTTGAGGCTGTAAACCTTTGCAGGGGCAGAAAGTCTCATCTTTCTCCCATGGAGCCACTGGTGGGCAGAAAAAAGGATTAGTGTCCAACAATCACTCAGTAATATATATGGTCAGCCAGCGGTTCTGTAGCATAAAGTGTGGAACTCTAGTATCTCGTAAACATGCTCAGCCTGCACAAGTTCACAGTCATTACACTTAGGAACTCCTTGAAAAGCACTTTTCCCATCCAGATTGGATATAATATTAAGTATCATCATGAACCTCTGATTTTTTCCATAAGAGGTAAATAACCTCTGATCACTTTTATATATGAAAAATCCTATCACTTCGGTCAAAGTATGTTTCGTTCCAAAAATATTCAGATGCAAATAAAATACAACTATGAATATTCTGGAGTCCTGGTGTGGTGCTACAGGATAAGCACTGGTCCAACAGCAAGGTTGGCTGTTCAAACCTACAAGTCACTCCTGTGAAACTTTATACAGGGTCACTATGAGTTAGAACTGACTAGCTGGCACTTAACAACTTAACTACAACAACATATGTCATTTGGAGCCCTGGTGGCATAATGGGTTGCATGTTGAACTATTATCCACAGTGTCAGCAGTTCAAATCCACCAGCCACTCTTCTGGAGAAAGATGAGTCTTTCTGCTCCTATAGAGGATCTGACAGTATTTGAGTCTTCCTCCAGCAACAATATATCATTTATTTTATGCAAAAGTAAAATCCTATTACAGATGAACACTTTGACCTGTAAGTGACATTGCATTGGAAACTCTCTGGGGCAGTTCTACACTATCCTATAGTGTAACTATATGTCAGGATCAAATGAATGACAGTGGGCTTTGGTAAGAAATGTGTTCTGACTCATAGTGACCCTGTATAGGATTTCCAAGGAGAGACTGGTGGGTTTGAACCCCTCATCTTACAGTTTAAACCAACCTTGCAGTCAGTGCCATATCCTGCAGTGCCACACCAGGACTCCGAATAGAATCTTGTTGTTGTTGTTAGGTACCATCGAGTCAGTACTGACTCAGGCACAACGGAACCAAAGAAGAGCCCAGTAGTGCACCAGCCTCACAATCATTGCTACCTTTGAGCCCATTGCTGCTGCCACTCTACCAAAACATCTCATTTGGGGTCTTCTTTTTCTCTGACCCTCCACTTTATCAAGCATGATGTCCTTCTCTAGGGACTGGTCCCTCCTCACAATTTGTCCAAAATATGAGAAAGAATCGGGTCACCCTGGCTTCCAAGGAGCATTCTGGCTGTACTTCTTCCAACACAGATTGGTTTGTTCTTTTGGCAGTCCGTGGTACTTTTAATATTCTCCTCCAACACCATAATTCCAATGCATTAATTCTTCTATGGTCTTCCGTATTTACTGTCCAACTTCCACATGCATATGAAGTTACTGAAAATACCATGGCAAGGGTCAGGCACACCTTAGTCCTCAAAATGATACATTTGCTCTTCAACATTTTAAAGAGGCCTTGTGCCGTAGATTTGACTAATGCAGTATGTCATTTGATTTCTTGACTTGCTGCTTCCCTGAATATAGAATCTTAGTATAGAATAATTTAGTATTCTTACAAAGTACATTCATTCAATCAACATTTATTAAAGGCTTTGTTCCTAAAATATTTTCTTACACTTTGCCAAGTGGTCCAATCATCAGGCTGAAGTGATTGTCTCACATATGAATTGAAACTAAATTTCTGCAAGAAATAGTATTTTAAATGACGGGTTGTGATTATTTTTAATTTTATATAAAAATCTCATCCACAAAAATACAACTAAATTACAAAAGAATTAATGGTTGCTTAGAACAACAAAATCATCTGATCATATATTGTAGAAAACATGTTTAATGTTGTAATTAGCAGATTGTTGCAATTTAAATAATGTAGACAACATTCAAGGAAATAATTACTGATAAAGCCTTCAACTATTAAAAGATAGTGTTACACACATCACTTTATGACCATAGATTGCCAAGAAGCTGATCGCATATGAATATTTATAGTGGTTCCTTTTCTTATCCAGAGTAGAAAATATTAAAATGGAAAATAATATTTTAAAAATCAAAGAATAAATTTGAAACTTTCCTTTCCTCCAACAGTGAATTTAACCAGTGGGAAGGATGACACTAGTGATACTATTTGGGACCTAAACTAATTTGAATTATTCTATAATAAAAGGATGACACTACTGTTTATAAGAGACAGAAAGTACTCAAGTCTGCTACACATGAAATTTTAACTAATTTGGGAAAATTCATAAATAGTATGAAATTTTCCAGGCTTGCAGACAATAACGTAATTCCTAGTAAACAAATAAAGGCACTTATATCAGTAAACTTTTAACAAAATAAATTACATAATACTTGCATATCTTCTGTAGCTATTTCTATTATGGTTTAAAAAACCACATGCAAAATCTTGCACATTATTTCAGTGCACATTTATTTTGCTTTTGTTTGAATTGTATTTACTTACTTACTTCTCAGTTTCTATAAAAGGTATAATGCCACTGGTAAGCAAGCAAAAACTTAAATAGTAGAAAATGAAATTTAAAAACAATTATAGGAAATACTTATTTCACACATAAGTATAATTTCTATTACTGCAGCTTATCTGGATGTCCTCTAAATGCACAAGCCATCAAAAAGGGCAAAGTCTCTGAAGAACTCATGACCATCAAGCTCAAAGCGACTGGGGGTAAGAATGTGTAGTGGGAATCACCATCTTAGCCAAGAGGTACAGCTGTATCTCCCAGAGGGTTCTGCATGTCAAAGCACACTGTCTTCCCATGTGGCCAAAGAATGTGATACATTGTTCCCTTCTGGATACTAACTTTCTTTACCCCTTTAGTAGCTAAAGTTGTCAAAGATTATAATTTTCCCCTAAATTAAAAAAAGAAACATAAAAGTAAAATTTGAGTGTGTAAACCTAGTACAAAAATGAAGGTTCACTCACTCAGGAAATACGTTATTTGAGAAACGAAATTCCAACTACTTATAGCAACTAATATATTGATATCTACATTGCTCATATGATTTTGATGATATTTGGAATACTTGTTGCATAGCTCCTAACACCATAACAACATGCAAACACAACGATAAACTGATAGATGGTGAAATAAAGCAAAAATAGCCACCTGTTTTGTCATGTTATATATAATCATCTGGGACTTATTGCTCCTTAATTTTATGTTCCACGGGAGAAAGATGAGGCTTTCTGCTCCCGTAAAGGTTTACAGCCTCGGAAACCCTGTACAGGGTCACTATGAGTCGGAACCGACTCCATGGCACAGAACCACCACCAAGCATCACCTTTGGTGACTGTGGGGCTTGATTCTAGGTCCTGCTGCCATGAACAGTGATGCTTTGTACATGTTGCACATGCCCCCTGTGTCTGGGTGTACATGGAAATATATGATTGCTGGGTCATAAGGAAGAGAAAATTCACCTTCAGTAGTTCATATACAGAATCCTGGTGTGGCGCTGTGAATTAATGAACCAGACTGCAAAGCCGTTTGAACTGTAAGGTCGGTGGTTCAAGCTCACTAGCTGCTCCTCAGAAACCCTATACTGGGTCGCTATGGGTCGGAAATAACTCGATGGCACTTCACAACAACAAGTTAATGAACGATCTCCAAAAGCAGTTGCTCAAGAAGGTAGATGAGTCTCCATCTCCTTCAATCAAATTGTCAAGTCCAGCCTGCTTTGTAAAATTGATCTTATTAACTCTCTTAATGCAGAAGTTTGCATTTATCCCTGTGTATCGTCATCACTTTGGATAAGTCATTCTGGATTGAAATCACCTACTTCCAGCATCCTTAATACTAGCAACCCTTCCAAATTTTTGCAATCTTTAAAATGCATTTATATCCCTTTTTTAAAAAGAAAAATGGAAACCTTTATGGGGTAGTTCTACTCTGTCCTATACGGTTTGATTTGAAGTATAAAATAATGATGGCAAAATAGCCCCTTTTTTATTTTCATTACTTTAAATATAATGTATTAATTCTTATCACATAGATATGTTTATTTTACAGAACAGGAAAGTGAGGCACTTTCCTGTTCTGTAAAATAAGAAGCCAAGTAAGTTTTCTAAGTTCAAGAATATGGGTCAAAGCCTGCATGCAAACTCCAAAGCCTATGTTCTTTCCTCTAAGTTACATTTGCTTCTTATCTAAGTTAAAATTGAGGTGGCAGGTTTCTGTTCCCCAAGCCTTCCCTCCCAGCTCTGCCCAGTTGTGGTCTAATCAGTTATACAGACTACCTGGACTTGGTTAGTCTTATAGCATTGTATATAGAGAACTCATGGGGTCAAGAGTCAGGGGCTTTGGAACTTCATCCTGCCTCGGCCACTTGAACTCTGACAGGTCATCTGAAGTCTATTGGTGATAATTGTGAACTGGTTCAGTCTCTCTTAGGCTCAGTGTTTTCATACCTGATGAGGGTATGACACTTCTAATCAAACAAGACAGGAAAATTTAAGTGAGAAAACAAATACCCCAGCAAACATAGGGTTTAAGGGAGCTACTTTATATAGAAGAACCTCTGGTAGCATAGTAGTTACAAGTGGGGCTGTTAACCTCAACATCAGCAATTTGAAACTACCAGCTGTTCCATAGGAGAAAGATGAGGCCTTCTGCTTCTGTAAATATTTACAGCCTCAGAAACCCTATACGGATCACTATGAAATTTCTTTGTAAGAAAGAACAGAGGAAGTTAAAAAGTTACACTAAAGTGGTGGTTTTGTGCTGTGGAGTCCGTTCCAACTCATAGCAAACCTGTATAGGGTTTCTGAAGAGTGACTGGCTGGTGAATCTGAACTGCCAACCTTGCGGTCCAAACCAACCTTGCAGTCCAGTGCATTAATGCACACTGCCATACTGGGATGCTGATTTTTACTTCTTCTTGTTGTTAAGTGCCATCGAGTCCATAGCGACCCTGTATAGGACTTCCAAGGAGCTGGTGAGTTTGAACTGCCGACCTTGCAGTTTAAATGGCTTTGCAGTCTGGTGCATTAACCCACAGCGCCACACCAGGATCTTAGCACACCACAAATTAAATGTAAAATGATTAATTTGACAGCTTCATATATAGGCACATATTTTCAATGTAAACTAGGCTCTGACTCTTTGTAGGTATAGAGAGTGATGAAGAAATTAGGCACCTGGATGAAGAAATAAAGGAGCTAAATGAATCCAATCTTAAAATTGAAGCAGATATGATGAAACTTCAGACCCAGGTAAGAGCTAAAATTATAATTAGTTATTTTTGTGGTAATCATAATATTTGATGGAAACAAAATACTGAATTTAAATCTGTGATTTAAAATATACTGATATCTGACAAGGCATATGCTTAGCATTTCTGTATTACACAATTATTTTTTTAAAAATTGAATAGATGGACTATACTTGATCATCATCAATTTGGTGGCTGAAGGTAAACTTACTCAAAGTTTTGCTTTGATTGCTTATAAAGCAGATTATACTAAGTGGTGATTCTGTGGATAGTGTGGTGAATAGATATGAGAGTTGTTATTAAGTGCTGTCGAGTTAGCAGCAGTTGGTGAGTTTGAATTGCTGACATTATGGTTTGCAGTCCAGTGCTGATCTTACAGAGCCACATTAGGAGTCTTGGTTTTAATTAAATCCCAAGGAACTATTGTTGCTAGATGCCATCAAATTGGTTCTGACTCACACCACCCTATGCACAACACTGTTTGGTCGTACACTGTACTGATAATTGTCCTTATGCTTAAGTCTATTGTTGAAGCCACTGTGTCAATCATCTCATTGGGGGTCTTCCTCTTTTTCTCTGATCCTCCACTTTACCAAGTATGATGTCCTTCTCCAGTGACGGATCCCTCCTGACAATATGCCCAGAAACAAGAGTCATAGTCTTGCCATCCTGAATTCTAAGGAACGTTCTGGCTGTACTTCTTCCAAGATAGATTTTTTTGTTGTTGTTCTTCTGGCCGTCCATGGTATTTTCATTATTCTTCTCCAACACCATAATTCAAATGCATCAATTCTTCTACTGTCTTCCTTATACATTTCCCAACTTGCACATGCATTTGAGGCTTAGGTCACCATGGCTTAGGTCAAGCACAACTTGGTCCCCAAAATGCCATCATTGCTCTTTAACACTTTAAATTTGGTGGAAAATTTGCCTAATGCAATTCCTCATTTGATTTCTTGACTGCTGCTTCTGTAAGTGTTAATTGTGGATCCAAGTAAAATAAAATCTTTTGACAATTTCATTTTTTTTTCTCCGTTTATCATGATGTTATTTATTGGCCTAGTTGTGGGAATTTTTACTTTCTTTACACTGAGGTGCAATTCTTACTGAAAGATGTAGTCTTTGATCTTCATCAGTAAGTGTTTTAAGTCCTCTTGTCTTCCAGCAAGTAAGGTTGTGTCATCCTCCTATCTCAGGTGGTTGATAAGTCTTCCTCCATTCCCAATGCCACATTCTTCTTCGAATCATCCAGCTTCTCATGTTGCTTTCTTAGTATACAGATTGAATAAGTATGGTGAAAGGATACAACCCTAACACACACTTTCCTAATTTAAAATAATTCAATAATCCCTTGTTCTGTTCTAATGACTACCTCATGAATACAATTAAGTGTTCTGAAATACCCATTCTTCCCAACATGATCCACACAGTTGATCATAATCCGTAAAACACAAGTAAACAACTTTCTGCTGTTCTCTGCTTTCAGGCAAGATCTATCTGATGCTCCTTGTTCCATGTCCTCTTCTAAATCTGGCTTGAATTTCTGATAGCTCGCTGTCAATATGATGCCATATTTAAATTTTCTTCAGCAAAATTTTACTTCCGTTTGATATTAATGATATTGTTTGATTATTTATGTATTCTGTTGGGTCACCTTTATGGAATGGGACAAATATGATCTCTTCCAGTCAGTTGGTCAAGTAGCCATCTTCTAAATTTCTAGGCATAGATGAGTGAGCACTTCCAGTGCTGCATTAGTTTGTTGAAACATTTCAATTTGTATTCCATCATTTCCTAGAGCCTTGTTTTCCACCAATGCCTTCAGGGAAGATTGGACTTCTTCCTTCAATATCATTGGTTTTGATCATATGCTACCTCTTGAAATGATTAAGCAATGACTAATTCTGTTTGGTACAATGACTGTATATTCCTTCCATCTTCTTTTGATTCTTCCTCCATCATTCAATATTTTGTCCATAGCATCCTTCCACATTACAAGTTGAGGCTTTAATTTTTTCTTCAGGTTATTTTGTTTTGTTTTGTTTTTTCAGCTTGAGACATTCTCTATGGGTTCATCTCTTTTGTATTCTGCTTCTTGGTGTTTGTACATTTCATTATAATACTCAACTTTGTCGTCTTGAGCTGCTCTTTGAAATTTTCTATTCAGCTTTTTTACTTCCTTTCTTCCAGTTACATTAGCTACTCTATGTTCAATAGCAAGCTACAGAGTCTCTCCTAACACCCAATTTGGTCTATACTTACTTTCCTGTACTTCTAGTGACCTTTTGATTGCTTCATATGATGTTCTTAATGTCATTCCACAACTCCTCTGGTCTTCAGTGATTGGTTTCTAAAACATTAAATCTGGTCTCTGAATTCAGATGGGACATAACCAAGGTCATATTTTGGCTCTTGTGGACTTTTCTTTTTTAAAATTCTCTTGAGCTTCAGTCTGAGCTTGCATATGAACCATTGATGGGTTATTCCATAGTTGACCCCTGGCCTTGCTTTGGTAGATAATATTGAGCTTCTCCATTGTTTCTTCACACAGATGTAGTCAATTTCATTCCCGTGTATTCATTCCATCTGGTGAGTTCCATGTGTATAGTGGCTGTTTATGTTGTTGAAAAAAAAAAAAATGTATTTGCAATGAATAAGTCAGTGGACTTGCAAAATTCTATCTTGTGATCTCTTTCACCAAGGCTATATTTTCCAACTAGTGATCCGTCCTTTCTGTTTCCAACTTATACATTCCAACCACCAGTAATTCTCAATTCATCTAGATTGCATGTTTGATCAATTTCAGACTTAAGAAGCTGGTAGAATTCATCAGTGTTATCATCTAGGGTTTTAATAGTATAAATGTAATAGTAGTATTAACTGATCTTCCTACTGTATATAATCCTACAACAGACAGCATTGTACTTCAAGTTAGGTCCTTGAAATGCAGTTTATAATGATGGAGTTGATGTCATTATTCTTTAATTTGTTGTTCCCAGCATAGTAAACCATATGATTGTCAGATTCAAAATGGTCAGTACCAGTCCATATCAGTTCACTAATGCCTAGGGTATTGATCTTTATGCATTTCATTTAATTTCTGATGACTTCCAATTTTCCTAGATTCTTAATTCATACATTCCACATCCCAGTTATGTCTCATCAGCAAATAATTTAAAGTCAACTCTACTTTGAGGGAACTGTTCTCCATTTGTATTTTGTGTGATTTTCAACCTAAGGTGCTCATCTTCAGGCACTATATTTGACAATGCTCTGCTGCTCTACATAAAGTTTTTAGTGGCTAAACATTCAGAGTGGTCTGCCTCTCCTTCTTCCTACTCTTTGTCTGAAACCTGTCCACCATTGGTGACTGTCTCAGTTATTTAGGTTTTTTTTTTTGTTGTTGTTGTTTGTTTGTTAAAGTTTTTACTGTGAATTGGGTGAAAGTTTACAGGGCAGAACATCAGTTTTACATTCAATAAACCTTATGCTTTGTTCTATTACAATGACTATAATCCCATCCATATTAACATCAATTAACAATATTTCTCTCTATTCATTTTAG